TTTGCTCTATAGCTGAGCCTGCAGCTGCTTTTATCACAGTATAGTTTTTGGAGGTTATTGGTCTCACAGTGAAGTCATCACAGAGGACTTTCTCAAATATTCATACATCTGCACCAAACCCTGCTAGTCCTTTTGTAATGTCTGACATCAGTGTGATGTTTCCATGTTCAGCGTCAAAAACTGTTTTCAGATTTTATCTTTGTTTATATCATAACTGCCATAAACAATCTCTCACACTCAGTGTTCTGCATTTCTTTTTCGTCTTCACACTACGCAGCAACCTGACCACACAATGAACAGAGAGAACTGACCAAGAAAAGCACAGACTCTCCCATAACTGATACAGTATTTCTCCTCTTACTTTGGTTAGTAGTTGTAGTCAAGACCAAGAACAAAGTTTATATAGACAGAGACAAGAGCAAGACCTTTAGGGCTGAGACCAAGTCGAGACCAAGACCAGTTCCCCACATTACGACACATAATAAAATGTGGAACGAGATCACAGGTACTGTACTTCTCTAATTGTTCTAAAAGATCCACATTCCCTTTAAAACCCCACATACAAACACTAAGAACACAATAAATGTCAAATTAGTTCTTATTCTTTCATATTTAAAGGCAGATGGTAATTGTGGTTTTAAACTATTCTTTATGGTCAGAACAAACACTTGATGCCAAACAGTGGATCACTTCACAAATCTGAGGTTTTTCAACAAACATGCACAAGTTAAATTAAGTTAAAAAAATTCAGTCCCTTTTCCTCAAGAAACTAAATATCTTAATAGTAAAATTAAGTGTGAATTAATTTGTGATTCAAATGAATAAAATCAAACATTTATTAAACATTTGTATTATTGTTATTGAGGAAAAATACTTAATTATCATTATTGTTTTATTATACAATACAATTTTTTGTGCAAGCATTAGGTTTTCAGGTTACTCTTGTCTTCCGTATTTGATCCTTCATTTTGATCTGCAACTGTGTATTCAAACTCAAAATTAGCTCTTTTAAAGTAAAGTGCCGTGTGCTTATGGCCATACAGAGAAACCTATTCAATATGTACATTTTCCATAGAAGTGGAGGAGTGTTACTTGGTCTCCACTCCCTGCCGTCACATCTAAAAGCTAACTCTCACACAAATGAGGAAGCGGGGAGGGGTGACAGCCATTAACAGTAACAACTCCGTTTTTAATTAGCGTTATTGGTTGCATTTGAAGCAATACGTTTTACATCAAAAGTTAGTATATTAACAAATAAATCAGACAACATTCAGGCAATATATTGATATTTCCAAAGTTCAGGTCTTGACTGCTCTTGAAATAATCCAGAGTCGAGAACAAGAACAAATGCAGTCAATCCCGAGAGGGGACCGAGACCATCAAAAGGTGGTCTTGAGACCAAGACCGGTCTTGTGTACTACAACACTACTGGTCAGTGTCGGAAAGAATAATACAAAACATCCCTATGGATGCATTTTGTTGAGATCCTCAAATCTGAAACATCTGGAAGTACAAATATTTCTGTGTCCCAACAACGAAGAAGTAGCTTGTCGACGCTGCATGAGCTGCTCTCCCTCTCTGTCGCGCTCCTCGACCTCTCGTTTCTACTGCCACCACCTCAACAGAGAGGAGCAGACACACCTACAGGCAGGAGAAAAGCGTCTCCCCACAGATCATCACACAAGGTGATGGTCTTTTCAACTTCATTGTTGCAGAAGAAGTGACGCCCACTTTCCCAGGGAGACATAAACAGCTGTGAATAGAAAAGAGCAGAGGAGCACAATCACTTAGAGAGTAGCCTGGCTGAGGGGAAGAAGGAGGTGAAATGCTGCCTCCATTTTGTTTAGAGCATGTGGCCAGGAATTACACACTGTATGTTTAACTTATTGTTAAATGCAGTTGTTTATTTTGGTTGTAATTCCTGGTGTGCTCTGTGTTACAGTGATTCAGGGCCAGAACAGCTGGGGAGTGACTTACACCTCTACTCAGATCTGTGCCTTAAAAGGATCAACAGTGGAAATAAGCTGCACCTACAGATACCCATCCAGAATAAATGACAGTGATACTAAAGTTGAGGAAACATTCTGGTTTACTCAACTGCAAGATAAAAACATGTGGATCTGAGAACAGACTCAAGATACGCAGGTCGTTTGCAGTACAGTTGTTCTAACAACATCTGCACTCTGAGAATCACAGACCTGAGAGAGAGCGACTCAGCTGAGTACAAGTTCAGGTTCATAACAAACCAACCAGGTGGGACATATACTGGTTCACCTGGAGTCACTCTGTCTGTCACAGGTAACATTTTCATCTGAATATTTATTAGTTTAGCTTCAAGTGACAACAAGATGACTTGCATCTGTGTGTTGACAGTTCACTTTAAAATGAAGATTTCTGTTCCTTATTCACATATTCAGATCTCCAGGTGCAGGTGAGCAGATTACAGGTCTACCAGTCTTATAACTGGGCAGAGATGAATTGTCACAGCAGTTGTCGTCTACATGGTCAGATTGACTACATCTGGTTTATCAAGGGAATGTATGTTAGCAGAGGAACATCTTATTCACGCTACTTGTATCCTGAAGACACTGTTTCCTGTGCTGTAGAAGGATATGAGGACTTCTCTTCTCCTTCAGTGTGTGAGTTTACATTCCCTGACATGACACCAACAAGGTCGAGCTTTTAACCTATTGTACTGTACATATGCTGCATGTTACTCAGTGTAGAATTGGATAAAACCAAATCATTTACCCACGATATTGTAGACATGTTACATAATAATTTCTTATTTCCTCTCTTCACTACAAAAGCACTGAATATTTTGCAAAATAACATTTGCCATCATGTCACTGGTTCACAAAATATTGTGACCACCATCATAGACATTCTCTGATTGTGTTTATTCTGCAATCTTGACCCTTAATTTCAGATGCAACATCCTTCTACCTTGGTATTTCAAATATGAGCCCTACAGTAACATGATATCTTGGAATGGCGTATAAATAGCACGCCACTTTTAAAGACACCTTAGATGCACCCTAATTGCCAATGCACACACACACTTTACAGAAACTGCAGTCAAAAAAATGAATGAAAGAAAATTATCGAAGAAACTTCTTAAAGACAATGAAGATTACCTCTCCTTCAGCGTGTCTTTCCACCACTGCTTCAGTAACAAAGTGTGCAATTAGAATTCAAGGTACAGTACACCATGTAGTTTCTAATACAAGAGGAAATCAAGCCACTCGTTGTGTTTGTTAGAAGTTAGAAAGGAAAACAATGATACAAAACAACATCATACTGAACTTCTGCTCTATCCCAGAAAAGTGTGTAATATATCATTTTATACATTTTTTTGTTTGGAAGACTTTTTATAAGATGCACTTTTCAGGCAACACCCGGGAGTAACAAATATTTCTGTGTCCCAGTGATGATAAAATGTGATAAATACCTGATAAAATTCCAGTTGAGTAGTTAGATAGATGCATGATTATGAACTGTTATGTCAATAACTGCAGATTATCAGTCAGATAATTGAGCTTGTCCAGGTCTCCTTTCCACAAATCATATCAGTAGTTTGATCATCTTTGTCTTATTAACTGAATGTTAAATGAAGTTATTCATTTTGATTGTTATGTCTGATGTGCTCTGTGTTCCAGTGGTACAGAGCATGTTTGGCTGGGGAGTGACTTACACTTCTACTGAGATCTGTGCCTTAAAAGGATCAACAGTGGAAATAAACTGCACCTTTAGATATCCATTCCTTATTAATGACGATTATACTACAGTTGAAGAAACATTCTGGTTTAAAGGTGATGAAACTGTGGATCTGAAAACAAAGTCAGAGTATTCAGGTCGTGTCGAGTATACCTGTAATGAAAACTTCTGCTCTCTGAGATCACAGACCTGAGAGAGAGCGACTCAGCTGAGTACAAGTTCAGTTCATAACAAACCAACCAAATGGGACATATACTGGTTCACCTGGAGTCACTTGTCTGTCACAGGTAACATTTTCATCTGAATATGTATTAATTTAGTTCCAAGTGTTCAACATCTTATGAAGGTTATTTGTGTGTGTGTTGACAGTTCAGTCTAAAATGAAGACATCTGTTCCTCTTTTATTTATAGATCCTTCTAGTTCGGTATTTTCCAATATGTGCCTTAGATGGACCCTCAAACCACACACACACACACACACACACACACACACACACACACCTTAAAATGACATGAAGATTACCACTCTCTTTTAAACGTCTTCTTTGCATTAGTAATAAAGTGTCCAACAGGACAACATGTACTTTCTGATACAGGAGGAAATTAAGCTGCACCTCCACTTTGAGTTTGTATGAAATATTGTCCATTTAAAATGCTCCACTGTGAAAATTCAACCTCATACTGAAATTAAATGTGTTCATGTTTTCTCCTCCAGATGCTCCAAAGCTTCCCTCTGTGTCAGTGAGTCCCTCTGCTGAGATAGTGGAGGGCAGTTCAGTGACTCTGACCTGCAGCAGTGATGCTAACCCAGCAGCTAATTATACCTGGTACAAGGAGAATGGAAATCCAAACCTTCATCCTCTAAGTAAAGAACCACAGCTTGTCTTCAGGTCCATCCAGTCCTCTGACTCTGGAGAATATTACTGTGCAGCAGAAAGCAAGCTGGGGAGGAAGACATCTGAATTTGTCTTTATCAATGTGAAATGTGAGTAAACTGCAGCTAACTTTAGGATCATGCCATTTTTCTATATGGGGGTGCCCAACGTCTGATTTTACATAGAACTAGAACTTTTTCCAAATACATTTAGCTGGAAAGAAAAGTACTTCCTGGATTTTGTTACATGGCACCATTTTTTGAGTTGTAGGAATGACTACCTTTTTTAACCCCATGCAATTACATTACAGTATCAACATGAGTCATCTGCAGAAAAGTATAAATATATGTATTGTAACCCTAACCCTGGGTCGTCAGTGCGCATGTCTAAGTGTATTGTGTATGTGTGTAGTGGCAGAGGAGGAACACTTGCTGAAGAGACCAGTGGCGTGGGGTGGGGTAAATTTTTGGGGAAGCCAAGTGAGAGGAGATGTCCTTTCTGGAGGGCAATTATCTAATTTATTTTGCTAATACAGTGCAGGGTATAACTTTACACAAAACTGATTCATACTTTAAACACGTGCACTATCTGTTATCAATACACACGCTGAATGTTGCGTTTACCGAGACGTAAGCGCTCTCTCTCTCTCTCTCTCTCTC